CAAAGTACATCCAGGGAGATTTTTCGTTATCTGATTATCTATAGGGATTAGGAAGAGTTTTTCCTCTGTATCTAACAGCTCTGAGGATGGAAGATTTTATTTTTCCTAATGATTGGGCTAAAGGGACAAATGTTTTTTCAGCCTCTTGGACAGGTGATACTCAACTGTAGTTTCCTCTACAATGGCTCACAAGATCATTCTGTTTTCAAGTGGAATATTGCACCTTTTTGGTCCCTGTACTGAATTAAATTCATAGGCTGCCATTGCTGACCTTTTGCTTTTAAATTCTAGTTGCCTACCTACAGAGGCGGCTCTAGAGTTTGCGAGGCCTTAGGCGAAACCTAAACATGAGGCCCCACTCAGGCCTGTGGGGTCTCACCGGGCTGTCGGGTTTAACCAGGATGGTGAGACCCCACAGAGCCCTGGTGAGACCCTACAGAGCCCTGGTTAAACTAGGGCTCTGTAGGGTCTCACCAGGGCTCTGTGGAGTCTCATATCTGACAGGGCAAACTAGGCGGCCGCGAGGCCCTCGGGAGCGCGAGGCCTAAGGCGACCGCCTAATTTGCCTAATTAAAGAGCCGCCTCTGCCTACCTAAAATGCTAATCTATTGGCTTCAAAACTTTCACAGTGCCAGAACAAGTATGGAGATCCATAGTTCTTATTTTCTCTGATTTCACTAGCTGCATATTTTACCTTGTATGTGATTCAGAATATATCAAAGCCAGTGGGAGCCAAACACCCAGCATTTTCAGAAGTAGGTGAGTAATGACAGTTTATATCTATCTGCAGGTCATATGCATTGTTAGACAAGGTCAACTGAAACAAGTGACTTGAGTGTACTGACCTCTGAAAGCATGTCATTCTGATTGTTAGAGCAACATTCTCTGCAATTTGATAGCAGTGTGTAAAGATGGCCATCTAGATGCTGCCTGCATAAAGTAGTTCTACCCAAACATCATTCATGGGACCTCTGCAGCTTCTCAGCTAACCAACAAAAGGAGCACAGGCCACGGACCATCAATGGGGACACACACCACTGCATACATCTATATCTCAGTCATAGGCTACTGGAGACCACCAATAGAGATACACACAACTGACCAACAATGTAATAAGGAGGAACACATACCACTGAACACCAATGTCATAAAGGGGCACAGAATATGAAACATCAATGTAATAGGATGCACACACTCCTGAATAGCAATGACATAATAGGGAACACATCCCACAGAATGCTACCATTTTCATAAGTAGGTGAGTAATGGCAGCATACATCTGTCAGTCATTAGATATGTGCGATTCGTTTCGTTCCGAATCAAAATTCGGAGATTCAGATGTATCCGAATTCCCAATTACAGATATAACGAATCCGAATGTCCAATTCCGAAAATGGACGAAATTTCGTTGCAGCAAAGTGACATTTGAGGGGAAAAAAAATGTTCCCCCCTCAAATGTCCCTTTGCTGCAATGAACGAAACGAACATAAAACGACAATTAGTACAGACTACCGCTAATTAATTTCATCCGAATCCCGAAACGAATTGACTTTCGGATCTAAATAACAAATAACGCAAAATCCAAAGCAAAACTAAACACATTTTTTGCCGGTGCACATGTCTATCAGTCATAGACTACTCGGGATCACTGAACACAACATGAAGGGCACAGACCACTGAACACCAGTGTAATAAGGGGCATAGACTACTAAGCTCCAATATAAAGGGAACACTTACTGTTGCACTCTGTTGTGTGGACCCCTGCACTCTGGTCATTGCACTGTACGGTATATGCTATGTTGTACATTTCATAGTCCTGACTGCTGCACTGTACATGCTATGTTGTAAATTACATATATCCGACTGCAGCACTGCATATGCCATGTTGTATGTTGCATAGCCCTAAGCGCTGCACTCTATATGCTGCGTTTTAAATCACATAGTTTTTACTGCTGAACGTTATACACTTAGGGGTCTATTCACGAAGCTGCCGAAGGATCTAGCCGTAGCTTCGGCCGATCCTTCGGCTAGCTTCGGCCCCAGGACCCCTTCAGTTCAGTAGAACCGAAGGGGTGCTGTACGGGCTATTCACTATAGCCCGTACAGCTCCCGAACGTGGCCGAGCGGCTCAGTTGTGCCGAAGGCATATGCCTCGGCTCAGCTGAGCCGCGCTGAAAGCTGAAGCTGGCCGAGCGGCCAGCCAACAACCTGCTTCTGACAGCTGGGCGGAGCCAGCCGTGATGTTACGGATGGCTCTGGCCACTTGCAGAGAGATCAGCGTCCCTGGTTACCTTCTAACCAGGGACACTGATCTCCAAACTGCAAACTCTCCCGGGCGCTCCAGGAGTCTCCTGCTCCCGGCCGCCAAGGAGAGAAACACTGCTTTTTCTTTTTTTTTATTCTGACACGAGCGATGTCAGAATAGAAAAAAACATAAAAAATGTTTGCCCATTGGAATGCATTGCTATATTCCTATTGGCTATTTCAATTTGCAATAGCCAATAGTGAACTAGCATTGTACCCGCCCTCTGCTGCAGTTCTCCATCAGGTCCATCAGCAGAGGGCGGGTACAATGCTAGTTTACTATTGGCTATTGCAAATTGAAATAGCCAATAGGAATGTAGCAATGCATT